GATCGCTATTGCAATGATAAGCTAGTCTTGACGTAGATCTACATAATGAATAGTGCGCTGGTCTATGGAATCAAAAGTTGTAGTATGCTAGGCTCTGAACAGCAATACAACTTTTTGGTAAACAATCGAGATATGACTCAGGCGTGCGCATTTGAACGAATCGGTCTTTTTTTTAAAAACACAGTTCATAATATGCAGGCATTTCAGGCACTACTTGTGACTTCTCTTTATACATTACTTGCTCAGTGCCTCCAATTTGCTGCAACGAACACTCAGATTCAACGAGATTTTAGGTCAGGCGCGGCGACCTCGTTGAATCCGAGTTACACTGTATTTATTTATTACGTTATTTTGTCACGATAGTTTCAAACTTAACGGAAAACAAAGCAATCACAAATACTACACAAAACTTGGAATCAACACTAATTGTGTTCATTTTTAATTTGCTTATGTTTATCTGTCATTTCGTTTTGAATGTCACAGAGAGTTGCAAAGGGTCTGAATTTGGGGGGGGGGGGGGGGGGGGTAAAGTGGTTTTTCTTCAGCCGCTGTTTCAAGGGACTTCACAAACCTGTAGGATTCATATCGGGCCTGTTTGCTGGTAACCACTCGAATGTTAACTGATTTGGTTGTTTAAGAATGCTCTAATGGTATTGGCCCTATGTGAAAATGCCTTGTTTAGCATGGGGATGACTACTTGAATGACATGACGGAAATAAGGGCAAGACATGACGTTCCAGCACTAACGCGATATGATGTAGTCCACTAAACCAAGCCATCCGGTGATTCTCACGAGGGCGGTTCTGTTTATTCCCCCCCAGACCACCGAAAACCATGGCTGTTTTTGGCCTCTTTTCCTCACTGACAGAAGATTGTGTCCAAAATCTAACACGGTCCATGTTCAAAAGAGGTTTCGTGCTCGATAAGAAATCAACAGCTCATGAACAAAAGCAAAATTAAAACTAATGAACACAAGTAATTGTTACGTCCAGGTTTGTGAGGTATTTGTAACTGCTGTTTTTCAATCTTCGTTGGTTTTCTGTTCAGGTCTTCGTTGTTGGTGTTTTGGAAGCTCTGAAGAGCGTTGAACATACTTTTGCTAATGCGATTTATATAGTCATCTTTTACCATTTCAAAGTCATAAATGCCATAAAAATTGAGCATCTGATGAGATTTGGCATTACCGTCACACAGCATCCTTCTGTATACTAAACCTCAGTGTTGCGCTGGTTTTGCGAATACTGTTTCAGCCTCCATAGCTTTTGCACTTCCTTGTAAATTTTGCAGGCACTTTATTTGATGGTGGATTCTCAAAGGCAAAATAAAAAAAGCGCATGTCCGTCATTGTCACCTACTTCTGTATCTTTCTTCATTGGTGAAATTTTATTTTTGGCAAATGGGTCAGGAGCAAGTTCCTCCTCATCTAAAGTTTCCTCTTCACTATCACTCTCACGATATGTTCCTCCCTATACCTACACCTCTAGTGCCTATCAATGTTCGAACTGTCGTGTGATGTTCTCAAGAATGTCGATGCCATTGCAGTAGACTGTGGTAATCTTGAGAAATTGAGGCTAGGGCATCAAAGTATTTTGGAAAGGTGTTCAAAAAGCATTTTCTGAGCTTGATAACTGTTGAAACTGGGGTAGTGCTGAAACAGCACTCTCATCTTGTTGATTAGACGCTAGCATCAGCATCAGCTAATGTCATTGAAGGAGGTGGTTAGGAGGCTGAAACAAAACAATGAATTGACTGTAGGGATTAATCTAAAATCTCTGTCTGTCTGTCTGTCTGTCTGTCTTTCTGTCTGTCTGTTTGTCTATAAATATAAACACAAGCACAGTTTTGATGTAGAACAAAATTAGACAGTAAAGGGCACATTGACCAGTAATGAGTTTCTCAGATAAGGAGACCTGGCGATAATATTGAGAGCTTTCGTTTTCAGTTCTCGTCTCAAAGATAACCGTGCTATCAATTTTCCTTTTCTCTTTATCTGTATAAAAATGCATACATGAAATAAAATACGCTTGCAAATAGCTTGAATGAAATAATGAATATCTGGTTCTGGGCCAAAGACATAATAAGCGCGCGCGCACACACATACACAGAGAGAGAGGGAGAGAGACAGACAGACAGAGTAAGAAATAGAGAGAGAGAGAAAGAGTGTGTGTGTGAGAGAGAGTGTGTGTGTGTGTGAGAGAGAGAGAAAGAGATTGAGAAAGGGATGGAGAGAGAGAGGGGGGGGGAGAGAGGGAGAGAGAGAGGGGGGGGGGGGGAGAATTCAATGTGATATTATCCTTCCACTTACTTTCCATCCACGCTGGTGTCTCACTTTCAGCATTCGGTTGCTCATCAGTGTCGACCCTGTTGTCTCTCAGGCTCAGTGAAGGTTGATCTAAGTCCTCAGCTGGTTGGGTTTTTTTCTAGTCCTTTTCTTCCACCTTTGATCCCTCCAAGTTTACAATGACAATACAGAACTTGTTCGGTCATTTACGTACAATGTTTATCTCCTCACATTTCAAGATTTTTCGTGCATGATATTCAAGAACTCCCTTCAACCCGCTGTTATGCTTTTTGTATTCACAACCGAATACTAAAGTACATACTTAGAATAAGTTAGAACGGAAGTTTTCTGTAACTTTCCTGTATTCACGGTACTACCCTATTCAGATACTTGTGGGAGACTTCTAGGCTCGCTCAAACTAGGGCGTGTCATGTGGGAGGGTTTTTTGGCTTGTCAGTGAGTGGAGACAATGGCTTGTGGGGATGGATTTACTGTTGGGTTACGATCGCTGAGTCAGACTTTCGTATACTGCCTATATTGAAAAGGCCTACCTTCGGCGATATATATTGTTTCGAAAAACTACTTGGTTGCTTCGGCCCAACGCAGCACTGCCGAGGGTGAAAGCTGAAGAGTTGGCTGGCGGCGGCGAGAATGAATCGGAATACGTGGCGTCCCGCACAAGACGTTTGTCACCGTAAAGCGAAAAGATGGTGTTTTCTGTCTGAGTTGGGTTGGGCGTTTTTTCGCCGTCGCCCTGATCAAGGCTAGAGGTTAACGTATATCGGCTGTATCGAACAGTTGTGCAAACTGGCTTCCAAAAAAAAAAGTCCTGAACTTTTCCGCCTCCGTGAAATCAAATGCGCGGGGGATTAAAATTTATGAAACAGCTTTTTCATATATCTCTTGTCAAGACTGTTTTTAAAAAAATGTGCAGCAGCTTCTCAAGGATCGGCCAGTTGGGCAAAATTCTGACTTTTTCAGGAATTGCAGTTCCTGATTTATGCGGAAATTCAGAAGCTCTTACCGAGCTCTCGTTGTCGGCCGTATGACGCGGGGGAACGATCCCATTTCGACGCCATGAGAGTGGGCTTTGGCCGAAATCTTCGGTATTTGACCAGTTCTGGCATGTTCAAGTGCTCTTGCACTATAAGGGGAACTCATTCACAAAATGTTGATTAACTTGAATTTGAACTTACTTAAACATGATTTAAACTGCACATGCGCAGTAATCTAGTTGCATATATCATGACGACACATTCTCAGCTAGACCTAAATAATAATGGAAACAGACTTATTACTTGTAACTTATTTACATCAATGATCAAGTCCGAACTGCTTTTTAATCGCCATTTTGCGAAATTAGAAACCACAATCTTCAAAATGATGTATGACATGACTGATTTCTGAGCGTGTGGAAAGCTTTATGCCCATTTAATTTAAAAAAGGAAATTTTAGGGCAAAAAATTGCTGGGGTTTTTTCACTTAGAGGAAAGGGGGTGTCATCTTTGTGAGTGTTTTTGAACATGTTCTGCTATTGATAGGGACATAAGATTTTCATTTTGAGAAAGTAGACATTTCAAAGTACTCGAATCCGTTAACAGCCCAATTTTGATCTGAGACTCAAAAATGACGTCATTTGACCATAGCCTTCCCCTGCATCATGCCTTTATTTGATGTTGTTCCTGCCTGTTTTTATATATATAAATGTATTATGTTAGAGGGTGTCTCCACCAAAACCGAACACTGACACTGGCAGGCCCGTGTGTGATTCAATAATTTTCATGTAATATCCTGTACTTTTTCTTGAATTTCACACGTTTAGGGTTAAAATGGCCAGTCTTCGGATACGTGGATACACCCCTTATTTGTTAATTTTTGTGGTTGTTTATGTGCTGTTCTAATTTTGTTTTCATACTGTTGTAAAACGTTTATTTTTCACATTTTTACAGTGTGGCTACAAATGATATTCTGGATGCTTAAAACAGAGCACAAGAAACTCTGGTTCTTTACATTAAGTTACCTCACGTCTATCAGTATATTGCTATATACTTGGTCACAAAGAGTTGAAAGCTTGAAAATTATTAGCAACTTTTGCCATTTTTTGTGGTAACTTTTGGACAAAAATGTCAACAAACGCAGACACTAGATTGATTTATTCTCTTTACTTATATGCTTTTAGTACAGCCCTTTTCGCTCCCACCTGGGACCACCATGTGCTCGCTGACAAAATAGCAAATTGTCAAGCGGGGGCAGAAGATCCAGTGAACACCTTTTTTTTGCTCAGAGATGTTATACAGAACGGAACTTGGCAATTGATTTTTTAGATTATTCATGGATGTTTTATGCTCTTGAAAATTTTTTGTTTGGCATGGCTGGTTTGAGCCTGGTATCGTTGAAATGATGAGGTATTCAAGCAAAAGACTCCTTCCTGGCCGGTTCATGGTTCATTCAAATTCAAAGTTTAGACATCTGTAAAAATGAATGACTTTTGGGTATCCTTTCTCCTCCAAGCCCGTGTTTTGATGTCTTTGCTAAATAGATTTTTAATATGTGTATATCATTTAGTATAGAGTAGTCCTCAGTTTACAGAATGAAAACAGCCGAGTAATTTTTTGGTGGTAGAAAGACTGAAAAGTGAAATGTCAGATAGCATGTTTGATTCTTCTTTTTATTTTTTGAAGATGCTTTAATGTATTGGGGTGTTTATGTTCCTTTGCAGTACATCGCACAGTTAGCAGATGCCCTCATCTACTGCCATGCAAAGAAAGTGATACATCGTGACATTAAGCCAGAGAACATTTTGCTAGGACTGAAAGGGGACGTCAAGATTGCTGACTTTGGCTGGTCTGTGCATGCGCCATCCTCACGGTAAGTATTTGTCTACCAAATAATCTGTTTATGCTTTTAGATTCGACGTAGCAGTGGCAGGGCTGCCCATCATTATGAATTTAGCGGAATTGCTCTGATTTTTTCTTTCAATTCATTGTATGAAAATGAGATTGCCAGACCCCTAATTCCAGTTTTTAAAAAATGATTTGCTATTATCCAACCCAGCACTATCCACCCTCCCACCATGTTAGGAAGAAAAACAACTTGGCCCCGACAGTCTACACCAGTGGGTCACGTGTCTAACTTTTAACATTCTCTATGCATAGAGCCCGTTGTAGTGGCTCTGTGCCACTTTGCCGTTAAAACAACATGAGAGGAACGATTCTTTAGGTGGGACACCCTTCAGCTTTCCAGTAAAATCTATAGTGAGAAGTTGAATGTAAGCTGCAGGTTTGCCAGCCTTCCTGATTTTTTAAAGCCATCGTTCCTGACTTCCTGAGATGTGGATTTTCCCATGTGCCTTGCCGGGCAAAAATAAAATCAACCTAGATGTTTATGAAAAATGAAACATGAAATCAACAACAGTTGAATCTGCCAAGATGGCCAGCTGTACAATCCGTTCTCCCCCCATTTTTTCTAGATAGTGGAGCTGTGTGAAGTGATAACCTGTCCAATGTGGTCACAGCTGCTATGTTTTAAGAACCAGCAGCCTAAAAACATGTCCAAGGTGGCCACTCTCTCATATCCCCCAATGAGTTACTATATTAATTATATTCTTACACATATTTACTCAATTAAAAAATTTTTGTATTTTTTATTGTTCCAGGCGTCAAACAATGTGTGGCACTTTGGATTACCTGCCTCCTGAAATGGTGGAGGGAAAGTATCACAACGAGTGTGTTGATCTCTGGAGTCTTGGAGTTCTTTGCTATGAGTTTCTTGTGGGAAACCCACCATTTGAAGCTGAAGGGCACAATGAAACTTACCGTCGTATAGTCAAAGTTGATCTTGTATTTCCTGACCATGTATCAGATGGAGCTAGGGACCTCATATCAAAGGTAACTTTAAATTTGTTTTGTTTCTCTAGCCATTTTTTGCGCAGGAGATTCTTGCTTTTTGTTTTTTAATACTTATACTATTAGTAACCAAATCCAGTGAAGACCTAGGTGGCAAGTAGGGGAATGCAGACCTGCCACTCATCCCGATTTATTCGGGATATCCCGATTTTTCCCCCCAAATTTCAATCCTCCCGATTTCGATCGCGTGTATCCCGATTTTTTGTCCCACTCTGCTGTTGTGCCGGGTTTTTCTAATAACTTACTCTGCCTTCTCCTTTATCGTGGGAAGCACCCGTCGAACTTTTTGTCAATAGGAACTCGGAGCACTATTTCCCGAAATATCGATGCCGCATTTAGTAGTTGACTCGCCCCAAGTTGTATGTGATCTTTTCCCGCACTCAGAATTCTCCAATGATAGCCTGGTAACTGTTCCAATTTGGGACATTTAATAATCGATAATATTCGTTGTTCCGCTGTTACTTTCAAAACAAGCCTTGTCCGAGGTCTGGTAACTGCGCATTCTCATCAAACACTCGGACGAGCGACAGTCTTTCTAACAACTAACATGTAACTGCGCTGACAAGACTAACTTACGGCCGTTGTCATTGGTTAAGTCTAAACGCATTATGAGGGATAAGAGATTTGTTGGTATATTATTATTTGGTCGTCGGCCGCCGTTGTTATCCTAGAAGTGGAACGACTGTCGCTAATCCGAGTGTTTTGTGTGAATGTGTAGTTAGTCGGACCCGTTAGTAAAATTGTTTCAATCGCGCATTCGCGTCATGTGACATGACATCGCCGTGTGAGTTCTGCGTGTCGGGGACCGTCCGTTGACGGGGTCAACTTAAGTTCATGTATTCCGGGACTTATTGGTAGGGGGGGTATAGACACTTGGTCTAGGAGTGCTTGATGCAACGCTTCAGGATTTACAAAAAATAATGATAACTTGCACGCACTCACACACACACGCTCACACACACACACACACACGCAAACAAAGACACGCAGAGGGCATATAGGCCAAGGAATTTATGGACACCACTGGAAAAATTTTAAGTCAGCTTTGGCAGTCACCTTGGTGATTTGCTGTTGATCCAGATTTTTTTCACCAAATCCAGATTTTTTTTCTCCCTGAGATCCTGATTTTGAGGTTTCATAGAGTGGCAGGTCTGGGAATGGCTTCCAGACATGGAGCTTAACTGTTAAGCAGCAACTTTGGACCAAATGGGACATAGTTGAGAAGAGTAAAGGCGATGCATTTTCAAAAGCAAGAAAAACCCGGACTATCTTGTGACGGGAAGCGCCATTAATTCTACCAAAGCCTCCAAATCTAGATCTTGCGTAGTAGAGAAAAATAACATACCAAATACATAGAATTTTCAATTGCATAAGCTTTAACTTGAATTAAGTTTCAAAGAGCAAGTTTTGGAAAAACAGCTGGTCAATGTATTTTTAACTTCAAAGTTTTCATTTCATGATTTTCAAGCGCTAAAATGCATATTATAACACATGATGCACACTTGGACAAACAGCAGCTTGTGTTTTTTTTTATGCTGTTGGAATTAAACTGCTGAGTTTAAACTGCATAAATTCCTGAGCGGTTGAAGAAGCTATGGTAGAAAAACAGATGTGGAAAGACAGACAGATAACCATACTTCTCCACGTTATCATATTTTTCTGAATGCATTGAGATCAAATTCATTGCTTGGCATTTTTCTAAAGTACTATGGTTGATTGAATTTTACCATCCACAAAATATAAGACTAGCATTAGTTTCAGTGGGGAGAGGTCGGGTTAAAATCAGTCAAAATTGCCCAGATCAAGGTACACCCAGCTGCTGGCAGCTCGTTTGAACCACCTACTCTTAACTTTTTCTGCAGATCCTCAGTAAATATCAGTTCAGGAGTCGGCATGTGCTATACATAGATAAAAGTACTGTGGGCTAACTGTTGCCCATTCTCATTGTGTAAATCGAAATAATTTTTTTTCTTTTTGCGTCTTGAAGATAGTTCAAGAAAAACCAGTTCCACTGTCAGAGCGTAATTGTTAATATGTATAACTTTGGTTGTTTTTTTACTCAATTACGCATCGGACACATGGCCCTAACAGACAAATACCTCCTTCAGGGAGATGAAAAGCCATTCTGTGTCGGATGCGACTCAGATTTTACCGTTAGACACATTTTAACTGAATGTCTAGACTTCGGAGAGATCCGAAGGAAATATTTTAAATGCAAAAAATTGCAAGACATTTTTTCCATCGTTGGTCCCGACAGAATTTTGGATTTTATGAAGGCCATTGGCCTTAATGGAAAGCTGTAGTGTAGAACAAAATATGAATTATTAAATTTTTTCTATGAAAATTGTTTTAGATTGAAATTATACATTTACTCCAAATTTTAAATATTTTAACGTTTTAAGATCAAATGACCCATACCCAGCCGTGCAGTGAACTGCAAATAAAAAAACTAACTTGTGTTTCACGCGCTCATATGACCGTATGCAATTGTGAGCATCGTAAAACTCCATACTAAACTATGGTTGTTCAAAAAAGCAGTAAAATCATGTGTATGTCACTTCATAAGAAACACTTTTTTTTTCTATTTGTCTAAAGATACATATATATTCAAGTGCTGACTGTTGTCATTTATTCTGTCTACTTTTCTTTAGACTAATGTACTTTTGTGCATTATAATATTTTGAACTGACATTAGAAAGAAAAAACATAAGGACGAGCAGTTCTTGAAAGAGTGGACAGTACCGGTAATGTTGTTTAGTAGTTTTTGGGTTTGGCAACTTTTTCCATTTATAGTATCGAGTTTAAGGGGCTCGATACTTATGGGACAACATTTTTAAATAAAGACAAACTGATGCTTTTGTCACAGGCAGTAAGTATGAGACAAAAGATTCATGTTCAACTGTTGACACTTGATTACCTAAGCCATTGCCATGAAAATGGCGGCCATCTTGAAATTTGGATAGACAGTTGTCTATCCACCATTTCTACAGTTTTTAACTTTAAAATTCTGTAACTTGTACATTGTCACAAATAAATAGGTGCTTGCACCTGGCTATTTTGAATTTTAATACTATACTTAGAAAGTAACCAAAATTGTTCTCAAAGTTGAGGATATTGCATTTGATCTTTTAAAAAATATATTTGGCATGAATGAAAAAAAAAATGTTTTAAAAAAAGTTCTAAAGCAAAATGTAAAAAACTAAGCCGCCCAACTACAAGTACAAACTATTTTTCTAACTACATGCCAAATTTCATGTCACTGTGTTGAAAAATAAAAAAGTGGTGGAGGAAAAAAACGGCATATATGCAAGCAAAAAGTGGTGAAAACATGTGTTTTCAGAAAAACAAGGTCAAACATTGAAAATGTTAGCACTCAATGTAGAACCCAGTATAAAAAGTGCTGAAAGTGAGTGAAGATCAGTTCCCGAGGCCCAAGACCCAACCCGCGAGCCCCCTTAAAAGTTAACGGTCTGTCTGCAGCTTACCCCCTTTTTTAGAAAACAGATTTCATAATTACTAAGTGCTCATGTTCTAGCAGTGACTAAAAATAATCGGTTGTCCTGGTTGTCTTGAAGTTGAAAGTGAGCTTAATTAATTGTGTGTACTTCGTGTTCACAGCTGTTGCGGCACGACCCGAAGGCCAGACTGCCTCTAGAACAAGTTCTCAAACACCCATGGATTTTGAAGTACAACCCAGACTTGGCATCTTCGTCCACATCTTCTGCACCTTCCTCCTAACCTTTGCACTTCAAATAAGTGCAACATTTGGAAAGTTTCTTTTTAACATGGCTTGAACTGTAGAAGCATTCCCACGGTTGAAATGATGCTTGGAAAATAGTGGAAATTATTATAAGGTTTGATTTCCCAGGCCTTGATCCAGTTCCATCTTGAGACATAAGAAATGCCTTTTACAATAAAACCTCAGTATAACGTACACCCTTCGGACCTCAAGATTTAGAATGTTTTAACCAAGGTACGTATTGGCAAAAAAAATATTTTTTTTTAAAATGAAAGAGCAGTGACAGGAGGTTACAGAGAACTTTTTATTCTATATTTCATTACCTTTTCTTAATACTAAGTCGGGGAGAAATGTCACCAGTGGGTGGTTGATGATCTGATCATATTCATTTAACCTACCATTTAGTTTAGAGTTTGGGGATTTTTTTGTTGGTATGTTTTTCTTTATTTCAAATCCAACTGACATAAGTGTACAACATGCATTCATAAGGAATTTAAGATCATGATAGGAATGAGGACCATAATGGTGATAATGTTACCTTATGACTATGGCACGTGTATGCCTACTAGAAAGATAATGCATATCAGGTTAGATAAAACCTTTAACCTTTTGTCATTTTTCTTTCTTCTCAAAATATACAATGTAAAAGTGTGGGTGGTTGACGGGTGCTCTGGTGTGGTTTGCTTCTTCTTTCCTTTCAAACGTAGATCTATCATCCTTATCTCCCCCTCCTTCTTTTTTATGTTTGTTACTCTTGTAACACATCTAATCTTCTGCACTCATATGGCCTTATGCAGTTGCGAGCGCCGTAAAACATCTACTGACTAAAACAAACAATGTAAAAGGGCTATTGATCAAGAAAATTCCTTCTGAAATGAACACAACTGCTGAAAGTACATTTTAAGAAGGTACGTTTTAGACTTAACTTTTAAAGTGTTAAACTACATGTATAGATTGGGATTCTGGATTTCTGAGTTAGAGCCGGGAATACATTATAAGCTGGGTATGTTATGCCGAGGTTTTACAGTAATTGTTAAAAGTCGCTTTCAATTAATTTCATGTATAGAAACTGAATGGGCTTCAGTTGACCATCCAACATCTTGCTATGGATTTCTGAAGAATTGGGGGTGTGAATCTCATATTTTCCATTGTCTCTTTTCTATGTATCAGTAGAAGCATTATTTTTGTTAATTTTGCTTAGATTTACTGATACCATTTATTTAGATTTGTTAATGTAACCCGCTCCGGCTAACTATTCTGATAAAGGAAGAAAAAAAGATTTCGAAGGTAATAACTAGTTTTTATGGATCCGTGGGTAAAGTTTGTCTGTTGAGGGTTCTGTTTTGTTCCGGGGTACATATCTGCTCAGTAAAGAGATGCTTCTGTAGATTTGTTTCACATGAAATTCCAGTGAACAGGAAAGAATTTTAACCATCTATTTTCTATACATTGCAAATTCACTAAGCACAATTTTAAAATTCCAGCAGTACTTTTTGACATTAAGGAATTTTCTACAGAATCATCATTCCTCTTGGTTGACTTTCCCCATTCATTTCCTTTTAATTAATTTTTGTGTTACTCTCACGGTTACCTTTGATCATCATTGCACATCGCACAACACACGTTCCACATATATATGCTAAGACACACGCCCTCCCCCACAAAATTTAGGTTTATTTCCCTCTTCCTGTGTGGAGAGGTTGTTGAAAGAGTGGCTATGTTTTGTGGGGCAGGAAGATGAGACACGGGGAAGCTGCAGACAGCCCCAAATTTAATAATGTGATCGCCCCTTTTACTTTTTTTTTTTAATTTGTAGATTTAAAGAGAACAATATGCAGCTATGATGATTAATTCCCTGGTTTATTTGTTGTTTTTGTTCTGAGACTGATAGATAGCATGGAAAACCAGTCAAGGAAATGGCCACAACCTCTCTTGAACCTGTTAGATTCATACTGGTACACAATTGTACTTTGTTTAGATTTTGTATGTAGTACACGATCTTTCACTTCGCACTTGCTGACAATGAATGATGGGCAAGAGAGTACTGAACATTCACAAGCAAGATAAATTAATTGATCTAATCTTTAAAGTATATGTCTTGTATGTAGTCCATACTCCTTTTTTGACTTTTGTACATGTATTCATGATGCACTAATTCGGAACCCATACATTGTAGTAGTTTTTAAAAAACCCAGCAAACCAATATCTTTGCTCACAGCACCTTTTGTGCAATAGTGTGGCCAAGTGGGTCAAGATAATAAGTCTCGCTCACTCGTTCTGTTATGTTGCTGAATACTGATGTAGATTTGGCTGACAGGTGGGAATGAATGCCCGGGTATGAGCTTAAATGCTATGCATCATGTCTTATGATGGGGACCTGTGCTTTGTTCTCCATATATTTATATAAAACTATTCTCTGTGGTGTCAGTCATCTGTAAATTTGTATGTTGTATTATAAAAGTTGCCGCTTTGTGGTGATCCAAACTGGATAAATTGTGCACCTTTTCTTGAGAGATCTGATTTTCTTACTAAGCAGGAAATCTTGAATAAATTAGGCCACTTTCTCTGCAGATTTTTGTGACAAATGCACACCTATACTGACATATGACTTGACTTTGAGGGATTTCATCCAAGTATTTCGAGTGGTTCACATTTTCTTTGTGTCAGAGGCTGAAGATGTGAAACTTATTTTAAGTTTTAGTTCCTGTCTGATGCACAAGGTCTGGGACCCACTGCTGTTCTTGTAAAGGAATAAAATATGTACATGCAACATTTTATGTGTCTTGGTGTTTTCAGTCACCTTTCCACTGCATTATTTGCATGTGTATCTAGAACTTTTATGTCTACATCAACACAATGTCCGGGGTGCCTTGATAGTCGAAGCAGACTTGGTACTGTTGAATCTAGAGAGGTGAGCAGAGAAAGTCTGATTCCCTGTAATCTGTAAGGACTTCTCTGTTGAGATCCACCCCTTGGCGCTCATATGACCTTATGCAGTTGCGAGCGCCGTAAAACCTCTACTAAAACTAAAAACAACACAAATTTAAATCATGTTCATGTGTATGAGGTGAACTTTTTCGACCCTGCCTGTCAGTCAGGGCCAACCTAGGCTGAAAGGGATAGGCCTACAAAGTTCCTGCACAAAATTGGAGATACTCGATCAAAATTCTCCCCACACTAGAATCAGCACACGTCCTCACGCGCGATAGTGAAGCGCCAAACCACTTTACCACCGACGCCATTTATTGTATAGCAAAGTGAGAGTAATTTATCATAATTGATTTATCAAACTGTATCAGAGCTAGGGTAGCCCGAACAGTAGGCCTTATACATGTACTTATAAATATGTGAGGCAGTGTGGTGAAATCAGGCTCTCGTCAATTTTTGGGAATGTAGAGTTATTGATATTATCTTAAAGCTTGTTCACTTGTCTTTATTTGAATGAAAAAAATATCCTTTTATCTTGAATACAAGTCGAGATATTTGCGAAAAAAGGAGGTGCGGGTCACCTGTTTTCAGAGGTAAAATTAGTGAGAAAATGGCGGCCAAAGATTAGTTATTTCCGTAGCTTAACAGTCCGTGGTAACCGGAAATTTTCATTTTTTGTGCCTTTAATCGTTTTTCAGAAAAATTAACTCAGAAATGAGTTCTTTAATGGGCATGGAAGGCGTAGAGCCAAAAAAACCCCAAAAATTGATAAAAATTCACAAACCTGCAGAAAAATGCAAGTTTCTTCACTTTGATTATTTTGACGAGAGCCTGATTCCATCACGCTGCTTCACATAATAATATACAGTCCGTGCCGGCTTTAAGCACGCCGGCATAAAGCACGTTTCGGACTCTAGCACGCAAAACGGCTCTACTCTTTCCGAATTTTTGCTATATAAACTACACGCCTTTAAGCACGGTAACTTCGGCTTCAGGCACGCTTCATTTACAAGACAGTCAATACTTTCATGATGAACCATCGAAGTTCGAAGACAGTCTACACCGCAGCAGTGAGTGTGTTAAGAGAAACACAAAGAACGCAAGTGATGGAGACGCACACTCGCACGGGCGGAGAGGAAGGTAGAGAGATGCACACAGCCGCGAGCGTAGACATAAGATTTAGCCTAGGGCAAAGCTACACACAGACTAAAAAAGTACAAAGAGAGTCAGGAAGACAAGAAAAGGAGGCTGGCTGCGATTTCACCTTTGTTGACCCTCGCTATCCATTAATCCTGAGTATGTTTCACACATGAGATTTCACCTTTAACTTTAACCCTCGCTATCCATTAATCCTGAACTGAGTATGTATCACGCATGAGGAGGGATGAAGGCTGTAGTATGAATGCGTCATAGTGAGCAGTGGTACGCACCAGCAGTGTGTAGGCCTAGTGTGCTGTATCGTGACTGGCCGTCTAAATTAGGTTTTCATTTCCCATTTGACCTCAAAACAAAAACAAACAAGCAAACAAAAACTACCATTGTGGGTACAAATAACAGTGCACACTTTTGCGGGACCGCTAAGCCTACTTACAAAGGGAAATAACACGGGACTTTTTCTACATGAAAATCTCTGGATTATGACGACTTGGCACTCAAGCACGCTTCGACATTAAGCACGCTTAAGCTTTCTCCCGATGACCGTGCTTAAAGTAAAGCCGGCATGGACTATATAATATCATTGTGGCGAAAAATGTCTCGTGTACTGCTGAAATATTTCAATCGTTGACCCACCTCTACCACAAAAATAAGGAGAACAATGACTCCATGTATGTTATTTCTATGTTCTTTATGGGTCGTATACAGGTAGTGCTTGATGGAAAGCCTGCTGGAAGTTTGACTCTGTATTTCTTTTTGGGGAAATTTGTACATGTACAGTATCTGTTTCAATTTCAAGTAAGTCCGTCTACCTGGTCAGATGCAGTACCATCAATTCTTGAGGGCCTATTACACCTTCAGCTAAACCTGTCAGTTGTCCTTCCTCTTTGTGGAAAGAAAATATGTATGCAAATCTTGGTAAAAAAAACAAAAAACTTTTTTGTGATCTTCGTAATTCAGCAAGAGAAAAACTTACTTGTGACTCATTTTCAATTTTGATATACTAGTTCCGAATTTAACATCTTTATGATAGAACGTAGGTCTAGATGTAAATTTTAACGAAATTGTTATCGTCCGGGGGCTAAAGCATCCGGATGGCGGACGGTCTAATACACCTGCAGCCTGCCGATGATAAAAATTCTCAACGACTAAACGATTGCTTAAGTAGCCTATATACAGTGGAACTCGGATTCAACGAGATGAGATAGATTCCCCGTTTTTGTTTGTTTCTTCTTTAAAATCAATAAGAATAACCCGGATTCAACGAGCACTTAAATCAGCGAGCTCGGATTCAACGAGGTCGCTTCCAGGGTGGACAATCCCCGCAGACGTGGCTTCGCCCATTTTTCTCCCAGAACGAACTTTATCTATTCCCAGAAACCATCCATTGCACCTGCATCGTGAACCATTATTCACTTAGCCGATTGCATACGACCAATCAGCGGCCTTTTTTCATACCATGTATACCAACACATGCGTTGTTGGCACACGCACGTGTCTACTCTGGTGTGTGTCGGGGTCGGATGGGCGCCCTGCACCCGTGTGGCTGTGTGTGCGTGTCGGGGAGGGGGAGGGGGGGGGGGGGCACTAGCGGCCCGGGCGTTGAACGTCGCAGATACAAACTCGTCACAATCTTTTTTTCCCCCTCGGCAATTGATCATTATTAAAAATGAATATTACAATGATAATCTAGTCTTGACGTAGATCTACGAAATGAATTGTGCGCTGGTCTATGAAATCAAAAGTTGCCGTATGCTAGGCTCTACTCAGCAACACAACTTTTTGGTGAACAATCGAGATGACACAGGCGTGTGCATTTGAACGAATCGGTCTTCTTTTTTTTTTTTACACAGCTCATAATATGCTGGCATTTCAGGCACTACTTGTGACTTCTCTTTATACATTACATTAGGACCTACTTGCTCAGTGCCTGTAATTATCTACCCAAAACCTCGTGTTTGCTGTAACGAACACTCGGATTCAACGAGATTTTAGGTCAGGCCCGGCGACCTCGTTGAATCCGAGTTCCACTGTATAATATAATAAAATATAACAAATGGCGCTTCTTTCCGACTACCAACTTCAGATAGACCGTCAGTTTCTGGGTTGATGGACACGTGGGCTATATAGTACTATACTATTTCTCACAAGACAAGCTCGAAGAGTACGCTGCTAAAAATGTGTAACAAAATAACTCTGAAGCTACTTTCTGGGTCGATTCCTTGGACCTCCTGTCCAGTTCAACGTTGAGTTTCAACTCTTCGATTGTTTGTGGGTTGTTTCTGTAGACTCTTTCAAAACCTCCCAAAGGAAAATAATGCACTTCGAATGGGTCATTTTTGACGCACTGTCTATCATATGGTCCCTTTTTTAAGAACAAGCGGGCTTACCCAGATTTCAAGGGTTTCCAGAAATCTGGACCTACACCAAAAGTGAGCATTGCCCCACCCATAGGAGAAGTTTGATTTCATTGGTGATGTTTGTTTGGTTGTAGAAAAAACTCCCCTTGTCTTTTAAAGAAACCGAACAAGGGTCCGACAACTTTACCTTCGAGTTTCTCAAAACAGCATTTTTCGGGATAGCCCGTTTGGGCTTAAAAGCGACCATATGATGGCATTGTCACTCTATTGTCTGATTTATTATTTTTTTTCTGTAACCCATTGTGACCGGGGGCACCAGCCAGTGAGGTGGTCACGTTTTTCCGAGTGACCGGTGTCACATATCGATAACTGATAGGTAAGAAGAGTGCGATACACATATTATGTAGTATGTAGTTTACTTCCAAATAACACCGAAAATGACTCAGTGCGTTCAAAGTACAAGCTATATATTAATATATTATAATAATATGCATGATAGATGTTAAAATTTCTCCGGGGGGGGGGGGGGGGGTCCAGTTTTGTTCTAATTTAGTAGAGGTTTTACGGCGCTCGCAACTGCAAAAGGTCATATGAGCGCCAAGGGGTGGATGTCAACAGAGAAGTCCTTACCTGGAATCTGACTTACTCTGCTCACCTCTCTAGCTTCAACAGTACAAAGTCTGCTTCGACTATCAAGGCTCCCCGGAAATAACGGGTCACAAGAATACAAAAGAAGTAGAGGAAAATGACGATATTGAGGACTAGGAAAGAAAAAGCAGCAGTTCCCTGTTGTAGTTCAGGCACAGTTATGAGCATGACATTGCTGGATCAGAGCCCATTTACAATACTACTGTGCGTAAGAACAAGTTAATGCCCCTTGGGAATGGCCTAAAGACACTTCAGACAGTGGCACCGCCCCGGGGAGAGGGGGGG